GATGAGGATAGAAAAAAAATAGAAATCTGACCTGTTAAATATTTATTTTTCTAATTGTCTAATGCCTAACTAAGTAGTTTAGGCAAAGCTAATTTTGACAAATAACTTGTTACAAAGTCATGAAGGCCAAGCATGGATTGGGACCTATTAAAAGAAAAGAATTGGCTATGTCATGACTTGGATGGGAGGCAGGGGTGATGTGGTTATAGAAAACAGGAAAGACAAATGATCAATGTGATGTATCAGATTTTGAAGTTAGCATATGAAATTATTTACCAATGTACTAAGTCCCATTAGGTAAGTTCACTGGAGCATAGGATGATCTTGAGAGCTAATAAAAATTGTCAGACTATTAATTATGAAGTATAATTCTGAAAGAATTAAAAATATAACTTTCATACAGAAGTAAAATGACCAAGTCAAGGATTTTATTCAACTTATTTACTAATGAGAGAACCAGTAAGATGTTAGAACTAGTACAAAGAGCATTTGAGAAGTTGATATATATATACTTAATACATGTAAATATTGGGGTAAATCAGAGGAGTAGCTATAAAACTAGTTTAGTGTCTTAAGACATAATAAACCGTAAACTGAGAGGTTATCTCTTCATTGGACAGACATTATTTGAATCTACTGGATAAAAGTTGACAAATTAACCCCTGCATCTACAGAGCTATAAAATAGCCATGTTGACAGAAATTCAAATGTAGTACTGGACTAAGATGAATCACCATTACTATCTTTTGCCTATTTCCAGGTTTTGGATAATTTTTGTAAGTTATATTTTGTTTGATTTCCCCTTATTTCAAGCATTGCATTGGCAGTATCTGGACAATAAGCATCAGAAACATACTTAATATCATAGTAAGACAATCCAAGTTAGTAATGGAAGGGTCCTGTTTTAATTATTCTCCCCTATCTTTACTCTTTACTATGTGTGCAATTCAGAAGCTGGATTGAATAAGATGATATGGACAATAAGGACGATAACTGTGAATGAATGTATAGCTGCCTTCAGCTAACAGTTCCCTGTCTGGCAGTTCCACAAATAATCTGTGAAAGTATGACTTCTTCCTTTTGTTCCCTAAGTATTGTCTTCTCTAGGAGGTATTTCTTCTCCCTTTTTGTAGTATATTACTCTAAAAGGGCAAATTAGCTTTCCAGGTATCCTCAAAGATGTCCAGCCTCGGATCATTTACCCCATCTCCATGCACACCTTCTGTTTGTCATTGGCCCATCCCAACAGGTCTTTTCTCAGATTCTGCCACTGGCATCTTCTGGGCAAGAGAAGCAAGAATGAAAGAGCAGGAGTTGGCAAGGGGAAAGGTATGATGAATAGAACTCCAGTTTTCCACAAATATTCTAGAATAAACAAACCCCCATCCACCTCTTACTTCCCACTTGAGGCTCTGCAGAGCAGGTTAACGGTGAGTGTAGGGCCATGGCACACTCTTTGTATGTGGAACCAATATTCTGAATGGAGTCCTAGAGCACTGGTGCTCAATGAGAATCTTTACTAATCTCCTGGACCAAGGAAGGAAAAGCAATCTTAGGAAGGAGAATTATAAAATAGATGAAATGTGGCTTACTGAGTTTTTTTTTTCCCTCATAATGTTCTTGAACTTCTTCAAGATGGCATCCAGTTGGCCAATAGCCTCTACATACGTTCTAGGTACTCGGAGATCCACTTTTCCCATTCTTCTATGTTTGGACCCACTAATACTTTGCTGTGCTCCAATGCCTCAATCCTAAATTACTTTTCTGTGTCAAAGTTGTCCCCAC